TTGTCATAATTGATTATATTACCCGTATAATTAATTATGATAGAGAAAATCATTTTTCCATTTCTGGTGCATCATAATTAATTATGACAGTGAAAAATATCATGTTATGAATTTTATCACACTTGTGCTTTGGAGGCTTATGCATAATATTACTTCATCAACCTGTACCTCCATATCCAGTATTCTAAGACTCTATCTAGTCTTCAGGAATCATCTTGGGCTTGCTTGAATCATCATCTTTATCACCTACGTCATAAATTCAGTTTGTCCTTAAATTCATCTTGAATGGTGTTTACTTGAATGTAGTTGACTTGAATTATCATCAAAATCATCTCTTGGGAATGCAGGAACATTTCCATCAATCTCCCCCTTTTTGATGATGATCAAGGAAACACCTGAAATGAATTAAAATGTTTGACTCTATATAGCCAGCTCAAGATTAGCACAAATTTATATCAAGTGTCACAGTCTCTTAATTTTCGTCTGGATATATTAATAACAAGACTCCCCCTTACTCATATGAGCAAATATTTCTCCTAACTCCCCTTGTTTAATTTGGATAGGAAAGAATTTCACACAGATTTTAATTCATAAAAAAATCTCCCCCTGTTTCATTGATAATCATAAAAAAAATATTATAAGAAAAAATCTTCCCCTGTTTCACACAGATTAATATCATCAAAATATCTCCCTGTTTCATTGATAATTAAAAAAATATTATAAGAAAAAAACTCCACCTGTTTAATATCATCCAAATATTTCCATGTTTCATTGATAATTATGAAAAATATTATAAGAGAAAATAAATCTCCCCATGTTTCACATAGATTAATATCATCAAAATATCTTCCTGTTTCATTGATAATTATGAAAAATATTGCAATAGAAACTGAGAACAAATTTGTACCTATTAGTATATAAATCAAGGTAGAGAAGATAATGCATTAAAAAATGTCATAGAGAAGAATATCATATTAAGGAAACAATATCTAGGATACCCAAGACAAATGAAGAGAGAGAAAGATAGGGGAATAAAATGATTATAGAGATAATGGAATTAAATGCAGTAGTTTTCTTCCATTGCAGTCTTCTTATTTAGGCAGCTTTCAAATTCAAATGCACTCATATTCCAGATTTCAAATTTCAAATTCAAATTGCAACAAATTTCAAATTTCAAATTCAAATTGCAACAAATTTCAAATTTCAAATTCAAATTCCAACCAATTCCAAATTTCAAATTCAAATTTCTAATCCCAAATTTCAAATTCAAATTCAAATTTCAAATTCAAATTCAAATTCAATTTCAAAAAATTTCAAATTGCAAAAATTTCAAATTTCAAAATCTCAAACTACAAAATTTTAAATTGCAAAATTTTAAATTTCAAAAATCTCATATTGCAAATTTTTAAAAAATCTCAAACTGCAAAATTTCAAATTTCAAGAATCTCAAATTACAAGATTTCAAACTTTATAATTTCAAATTTTCATAAATTCAAATTTTCAAAATTCAAACTTTCAAATTTCAAAGTTGGTCAACATAATTGATTATGACAACAAGAAAAAAATTCCGATTCTGATAATCAATTAGATGCTCAAATTATCATCTAGACATGTATAAATGCTTTGTTCCTTTAGGCACCCATTCATATTTGTCATTAGATATGCCAAAATGTTTTATGTAACATCTATTTGATGTATGACCTAATTTCATGCAATAAAAACATGTTGATTTTCTTTCAAAATGTCTAAATGCGTTTCTTAAAGTTTTTGAAACTGGTTTCACATCTGTTTTCCTTGACTCTTTCACAAAAATAGTTTTATGAGGTTCTAGACTTTCTTTGGGTTTGTAACCAAGTCCAGCTTTGCTAGAATTTCCTCTTTGATAACCTAATATTGAATCAAGATTTTCAGAAGATTTTGAAAAATTGCTTATTATTTTCTCTAACTTGAAAATCTCATTTTCCAAAAGATTACAATTTTCACAAGGTTTAACAACTTCTTTATTTTTAGACAGTTTTAGATTTCTCAACATCTTTCTTTAAGCACTCATTTTCTTTTTCAAGAATACCAACAATATTTTCTAATGCATTAAACTTTTGCCTAAGTGCATTGTATTTCTTAGATAATTTGGTAAAACCTTCATACATATCTTGATATTATTTAAATAACTCATCATATTCATTTAAGGAATTTGTACTACTTACCTGTGATGAGGCTTTATCATCACTTTTTGTCATCAAGCAAATATTTGCTTCTTCTTCTCCATCACTGCTTTCGGAAGAACTCTCTTGTGTTGTGGAAGAATCATTATCCTCCCAAGTAATATAAACTTTGTGTTTGCTCTTATAGGTATCGTTCTTCTCTTTCTTCTTCTCTTTCACATCTTTCTTCTCTTTCTTAAGTTTCGGACAGTCTGGTTTGATATGACCAGGTTTTCCACATTCATAGCAATGAAATTTATTTGTTTTCTCCTTTCTTTGCTGTCTCTCTTTCCTGTTCTTCATAAAGCGAGAAAATTGTTTAACAAAAAGAGACATATCGGAGTCCGAAAACTTACCTTCATTTTCGCCTTCGTCTTGTGAAGATTTTTCTACTTTTAGAGCTATCATTTTGGTTTGATTCTGTTCACCGTTCTTTAACCTTTGTAGCTCCATCTCATGTTCTTGCAGTTTTCCAAATAGAGTAGCAATATTCATTTTTGTGAGATCCTTTTATTCTGTAATAGCAGTGACCTTTGGTTGTCAATTCCTGTCTAAGGATTTCAAGATCTTTGTGTTCAACTCCTCTTTGTCAAAACTCTTTCCTAATGCTTTCAAGTGATTTACTATATGTGTGAAGCGTGTTTGGAAATTCGTGATGCTTTCATTTTGCTGCATTTGAAATAATTCATACTCCTGGATGAGTGTATTTTTACGTGCTCGTTTTACTTCATTTGTTCCTTCATGTGTTACTTTAAGAGTATCCCATATTTCTTTTGCCGTCTTGCATTGTGAGACCCTGAAAAATTCATTACGAGTTAAGCCATAAACAATAGCATTTCGGGCTCTTCCATCATAATGGGCACACTTATTTTCATCCGGCGTTCATTGATCAAAAGTCTTTGGAACAGCTCCAGACTCCGTTGTTCTCATCGGAATGTAGGGGCCATTGAGTACAACATCCCAAACACCATAATCTAGTGTTTGTAAAAATATTTCCATTCTCGCCTTCCAAAACTGATAGTCTTCTCCTTCAAATAATGGTGGTCTGTTTATTGAGACTTCTTCCTTGTAAACTTGATTTTGCATAGACATCTTGATAGATCGTTTAGAAATATCTTATCTAACCAAGCTCTTGTTAGACAAATGGCATCTAGAAGGGGGGTGAATAGATGCACAAATTAAAATAGATGTTAAATTAAAAATTTATTTGTGAGTCAATAATTTGTTTGAACACAGATAAAGCAGAAGCGATAATATAATCAGAGAAAGAGACAAGGGAAAGAGAAGAGCACACAAAGATTTATACTGGTTCAGGTATAGCCAACCCTACATCCAGTTCCCAGTCAACTTTTAACACAAGAGTGACTCTCCATCCACTATCTTTCAAATTCAGTTTACAAATTACAATCAACTCAGTAGAAGAACCAGTAAAAAGTAAACTAATTAAAAAGACAATCACCTCCTTAGAAACTCACTAAGGAAGAACACCTCCCTAGAATCCCACTAGGGATGAACATCTTCTCTGAACAAATCAAAGGATGAAAAACACCTCCTTAGAATCTCACTAAGGATGAACCCCTCCCTAAAATCACACTAGGGATGAAAACCTCCTTTGAACAAATCAAAGGATGAAAACACCTCCTTAGAATCTCACTAAAGATGAACACCTCCCTAGAATCACACTAGGAATGAAAAGAACCTCATTTTCACCAATGCAAAAAGGATGAAGGTAATAAAAATAAGAACAGACACACCTGGGTAATGGAGACAACAAATTGTAGAAGCATGTAGAATGTCAATCTCCAAGAACAAGTGTGATTAACAATAAAAACATAGAAGACAGTAGAGAATATGGTTTTCTCAAAAGGTGTAAAATATCTCTGTTGCCTTGCTCAGAATTCTTTTCTCAAAATTGATTGAATGTAAATTGTATTTTCGAATTCTATAATTGTGTATTTTTTATTTTTCATCAAAACTTAATTAAATAGAAAAATAGTATCAGAAAATGGTCGTTGGACATTAATAATATCATAGAGAAAATTAGGATGTATTAAAAAATATTTATTCTTTAAAACGGATATATTTTTCAAATTTGAATTTCCATAATTGATTATATTACCAGTATAATTAATTATGATAGAGAAATTCATTTTTCCATTTCTAGTGCATCATAATTAATTATGACAAGTGAAAAATATCATGTTGTGAATTTTATCACACTTGTGCTTTGTAGGCATATGCATAATATTACTTCATCAACTTGTATCTCCATATCCAGTATTCTAAGACTCTATCTAGTCTTCAAGAATCATCTTGGGTTTGCTTGAATCATCATCTTTATCACCTACGTCATAAATTCAGTTTGTCATTAAATTCATCTCGAATGTTGTTGACTTGAATCATCATCAAAATCATCTCTTAGAAATGCAGGAACATTTTCATCAATCTCCCCTTGCTTTCATATATATATATATATATATATATATATATATATATATATATATATATATATATATATATATAGAGAGAGAGAGAGAGAGAGAGAGAGAGAGAGAGAGAGAGAGAAGAGATACGTATACGACAAGATACACTTACAAGCTAATCAAGTCGTGAGTCCTTTCACTAACTTCTAACAACCTTTTTATGATTGGAGCAGATAATGAATATACAGATCCATTAATAAATATCTGCAATTTGTACTTGAAATTTTCCCCCAACAACTAATACTATAAGATGACAAAACTACTGAGAAACGTTACAACACAACCAGATTGCTTTTGTTTTGTTGATTAATTTACAATGGCCATGTTTTGGTATGCAGCAGCAACAACTGCAGCACTCTTCTGCATCATACACTTCTTTCGTCGGAGACTATGTTGCAGATACCCTCTCTTCACTGACTACCCCTTCCTGGGCATGCTACCACAGGTACTCTGCAATTTGTGGCGTATTCATGATTTTTCAGTTGAGGTCCTGAAATCACATGGTGGCACTGGTGAGTTCACAGGACCTTGGTTTACCAACATGAACTATTTGGTCACTAGTGACCCCCTCAACGTGCACCATGTCTTGAGCAAGAATTTCAACAACTACGTCAAGGGACCTGAGTTTCGTGAGATTTTTCAGGCTTTCGGAGATGGGATATTCACTTCTGATGCAGAAGCATGGAAATACAACAGGGATATCTTCCATTCCCTCTTTAAACACAGAAGCTTCGAGGTGTTCCTAGAGACAACCATTCGGAAGAAGTTGCAGAATAGCCTACTTCCCATGTTGGATTATCTACATCAACAAGGGAATGTGGTGGATCTTCAAGATGTCTTCAATCGCTTCACCTTCGACAACATATGTTCTATAGTTCTTGGATATGACCCCAATTGCCTTTCCGTTGATTTTCCAGAAGTTGAAATTGAGAAGGCTTTTAACCAAGCAGAAGAGTCCATAATCTACCGACATACAATGCCAAAGCGTCTTTGGAAGCTGCAGAAATGGCTTCAAATCGGTCACGAGAAGAAGATGACTGAATCGTGCAAAACGTTTGATCAATTCATCCATGCACTTATAGCGTCTAGGTCGGAAGCACTAAGAAAGTACAATAACAATGAAACAGGAGAAGCTTGTGCGGATTTGCTAACAACTTTGATGAGAGAAGGGAAAGAACAACATGATGCTAGATTTCTAAGGGATGCTGTGTTCAATCTTTTTGTGGCTGGGAGAGATACCATAACTTCAGCTCTCACATGGTTCTTTTGGCTTGTTGCTACCAATCCTTTGGTGGAAGCCAAGATTCTTGAAGAGATCAATGAAATTTTTGGATCAAATGAGAAGACACCAGATGATTTAAGTGTGGAGGAATTGAAAAAACTGGTTTATCTGCACGGTGCAATATGTGAAACACTGAGACTCTTTCCTCCTATACCTTTCGAACGCAAGCAAGCAGTAGAAGCTGACATGCTTCCTAGTGGTCATGGTGTTAATCCCAGAGCAATGTTAATATTTTCATTGTATGCAATGGGAAGATTTGAGGAAATATGGGGAGAAGATTGCATGGAGTTCAAGCCAGAGAGATGGATATCAAAGAAAGGAGGTAATGTTTATGTACCATCTTACAAATTCATTGCTTTTAATGCAGGACCCAGAACATGCTTAGGTAAAGACTTGTCCTTCATTCAAATGAAGATTGTAGCAACTGCTATCTTGCGCAATTTTCATATCCAAGTGGTGGAAGGTTGTGTTGCTTGGCCAAGCCTTTCAATTGTTCTTCTCATGAAGGATGGTTTGAAGGTTAAGATAACAAAAAGAGAAACTTAATTCCACGCCCTACGTTGAAATTTGGATGTCATCGTCCATGTAATAAAACAATGAATAATTTGTACCTGAGAAAATGTTGGTTAACAGTAACTTTTGTACTAAAACAATAGCATGCTTGTTGTTTTATTCTGTACAAGATTATGTTTGTGTGTAAGAATTATCTGAAGTAAAAGAACTTGAAGTTTTAAATATACAATAAGGAAATAATACCATTTTTCTTAGTCCTTGTCTTTTCCAGAAATAAAATAGAATGAATAATTTATCGAACATGGCAACCAGACAACATGTTTGTGTCAAATGATTTGATTCATGTACACGTGTCGATTTGCTGAGAAAAGGCAGATTTTTATTATTTATATAATTATTTAATTTGAGATTTATTTTTGGGATCATGTAACATGGAACAGTTTAGATTGTTCGAGATAGTGTCCAAGAGAGGGACTTAACATATAAATATTGATTTAAAAATATTCTATATAAAAGGATAAATTAAAAATATATTACGAATTTATAAACTCAATTAAGAATGTAGATAAAACGAAAAACTGATAATTGGTGTAAAACAATTGATGACAGTGTTATATGTATAACAACATTGTTCAAACTCGTAACATTTGTACATATACATTTAGAGTCCAATTAATAAAATTTTACATAGAGACTAAAATTAAAATCTTAGCTAAATTAATTATATATTATCCAGGCCTTAAATATTAATTTAATATTTTTTTCTTCAATTTCAATAAAAGGTTTGACTTTTTATAAATGAAATAAAAATGCACAAGTGTATAGAAAAAAGTGCCAAACATTTTTTTTCTAAGAAGCCAATTTAATGAACAAAACTATAAAAAAATTTAGTTAAAGTAAAATAAAAATAAATTAAATCTCCGTAATGAAAAACATAAATTATTTCAAAAAAAAAAACAATATTTTATTATAATTTGTTTAACTATCTTAATAAAACTAAATCAATATTTTACGATAATTTTTTAAACTGTCTTAAAACTTAACCGGTGATTAAATCGATTAAGATATTCATTCTAAATTCAAAGGTTCGCATAACCAAATTTAATAAAATAATATTTTTATAATATAATAAATATATAATAAATTTTTTAATAATAATAATATTTTTATAAATAATAAAAATTATTATCATGTAAATTATAATAGTTTATAAATATAAAATATATTAAATAAATAATTAATAAAATAAGATGAAAATATAATAAAATAATTATTATTTAAATTTGATATAATAAAAAATATATATTATATTTCTATAGAAAAAATTATTATTAATTTTTTTTAGTAAAATCGGTTAGATCTAAAACTTTGGTCAATTTTCTTCATTTTACTAATTTTATTCCTATTTTTTCATTCTCCTGATTTTATATTTGCTTTTTATATTTTATCTTAATTAATTAAAATTAATTTGATTATTTAAAATATCTATTTTCAGATCGATTTCGTATTGAACCGATATTTTTAAAATATTCTATTCAACTATAATAAAATTAGCTAGAGATGTATATATTACAATTACGTGTACTTGTATCCATGATCACATTCACATGTCATTACAAGTTTATCTTAAATCAAGTTTGGTTTTTAGTTGGATATATTTCGTATTTATTAGACAGTGAAGTCAATTCTTTTACATGTATGTTACATATTACTGCAAATAATTTAAATACTATAAAAATAATAAAATAATATATTTATATATAAATTTAAAATTAATAAAATATAAGATTTTATTAAGATTAAAAGTTTGTATGTAGAGAAAAAGTTAGGAGGGCGAAGATACCAGAAAGTGAAGTGGCAAGTATGTGGTGGTTCAGACGGTGGGGAAATAAAGAGGGGATATGAACCTCTATCTACTTTGTCGCAGATACCATACAATATCTTCAATAAATGCTATGCCCTACCTAGTCAAAATAAACATCTATCATTCTCTTCTCATTGTATTGTATAGGACAATAACATCCACAAGTGGCATAGAGATCCCACAAAACCCACGTAACAAACAAACATCTTCTCTTGTTTATCAAGTTACAATGCCACCGTTGTTACTTGGCTATGCAGCAGCAACGATTGCAGCACTCCTCTGCATCATAAACTTCTTCCATCGGAGACTATGTTGCAGACACCCCCTCTTAACTGACTACCCCTTCCTTGGCATGCTACCACAGTTTCTCAGCAATTTGTGGCGCTGCCATGATTTTTTGACTGAGGTGCTGAAACAACATGGGGGAACCGGTGAGTTCACTGGACCATGGTTTACCAACATGAACTATTTGATCACTAGTGACCCCCTCAACGTGCACCACATCATGAGCAAGAGTTTCCACAACTACGTCAAAGGACCCGTGTTTCGTGACATTTTTCAAGCCTTCGGACACGGGATTTTCACCGCTGATTCAGAGACATGGAAATACAACAGGGAACTCTTCCATTCTCTCTTTAAACAGAAAAGCTTTGAGGTCTTTCTACAGAAAACCATTCACAAGAAGGTGCAGAATAGCCTACTTCCCGTATTGGATCATCTACACCAACAGGGGACCGTGGTGGATCTTCAAGATGTCTTCAATCGCTTCACTTTCGATAACATATGTTCTATAGTTCTTGGCAATGACCCTAATTGCCTTTCCGTTGGTTTTCCGGATGTTGAAATTGAGAAGGCTTTTAATGAAGCAGAAGAGTCCATATTCTACAGACATGTAGTGCCAGGGTGTGTTTGGAAGTTGCAGAAACGGCTTCAGATTGGTCAAGAGAAGAAGATGACAGAAGCATGTAAAACACTTGATGAGTTCATATACGAATGCATAGCGTCTAAGAGAGAAGATATAAGCAAATACAAAGAAAATGAAACGGGAGAAGCCTTTCACGTGGACTTGTTAACAAATTTGATGAGAGAAGGAAAGGGAAAAGGGCAAGCACATGATGATATATTTCTAAGGGATGCTGTGTTCAATCTATTTGTGGCTGGGAGAGATACCATAACTTCGGCTCTCACTTGGTTCTTTTGGCTTGTTGCTACAAACCCTTTGGTGGAAGCCAAGATTCTTCAAGAGATCAATGAGATGTTTGGAAACAACGAAAAAACGCCTGGGGTTTTAAACGTGGAGGAGGTGAAAAAGCTGGTTTATCTGCATGGTGCTATATGTGAAGCATTGAGGCTTTTTCCTCCCATACCTTTCGAACGAAAGCAAGCACTTGAAGCTGACGTGCTTCCTAGTGGTCATGCTGTGAATCCCAGTACAATCATATTATTTTGTTTATATTCAATGGGAAGATTTGAGGAAATATGGGGAGAAGATTGTATGGAGTTCAAACCAGAGAGATGGATCTCACATAAAGGAGGTAATGTTTATGTACCATCTTACAAATTCATTGCTTTTAATGCAGGACCAAGGATTTGTTTGGGCAAAGACTCGTCCTTCATTCAAATAAAGATGGTGGCAACTGCAATCTTGCAGAAGTATCGTGTCCAAGTGGTTGAAGGTCATGATGCTTCTCCAAACCTTTCAATCGTTCTTCTAATGAAGAATGGTTTAAAGGTTAGGATAACAAAGAGAGAAATTTAATTTGATGTATGTAGAATCTGGTCTCAGCAACACAAAAAGGTGTAAAAGATAATGTTTCATGTATCTGAAGTTAACCTAATATCGATGATGAATAAGGTGCATTATTTGTGGAAAAATGGTAATCAGACAAAAACGTTTTTGTCAGAAAAGTGCGATAAGATTTATCAACGGATAAGGATTCTTTGTCATGTAGGTAAAGTTCCTTTCACGTGCTTGAATCTGAAAAATGTTATCTTCCTGTCTGGAAAGTTACTGAAACCTTTACAAAATAAAAAAATATTTCTTATATTTAAATATAAATATATAATAACATTTTTAATCGTACATTATTTTCCAATACCAATTCAAAAAGTTAATGCTAACACAATATATTTGTTAAATATAAATAGATTAAGCTACTAAACACTTGTTTGTTTAATATATTTAAAATTTGTTTCATAATTGATTAATTAAAATAATATTAAAAAACTGTTATTTTTTTATAAAATTAAAATATTTAAAATTAATACAAAAATATATATTTTTAATAATATGACTTTATTCATAATTGTATTATGTTATCCGTCTTCATCGTTATAAATGTCCATCTTCGTCATCATAAAATATCTAATTAATTTTCAAATTTTATCTGACTAAACCCTAAACTTGTTGTTATCATCTATATTTAAATGGTTTAAAATAATTTTTAAATTAGAATATCAAGCAAGATTTTCTTTTAGTTTGATTTAAAAAAAAATTATAATTAACCTTTAAATTTATTTTAAAAAACTAAAAAGTTAAATTAAATCAAACAAATCTTGAGAAATATTTTTAAATATATTATGATTTATTTTCCTTACTTTTATTTGAAATATTTGTAAATATATATTCTTTTGATTTTTCATCTTTTTTAAGTAGTAAAACTGGTTGCGATCTTTATTTTTAAAGACTTATTTGGGTCCTTTTAATTTAAATATATCGATTCAATGTTGTCTATCATCCATCAATTTGAAATAAACACCATTAGGGTTTTATATATTTTGCTTCAAGCTTTGAAACATCTCCCATAAATAATGGACACAAAGCTAAAACCACCATTATTTATTAGTCAAGTTTTTTATGGTGCAGGGTTTTGAATTTTGGTATCATGAAGCTTTAACCGAAAATTTTGGAGGAAGTCATGTCAACCTTACCAAACACAAAACAAATTGGTTAAATTAATAGGTTTTTCTTTGTAATTATTTATTATTATTATTTATTAAATTTGTGTTGTTTGTATATTGTTAGGTTTTTTTTTAATTTGATCATATATTGTGTCATTAAATTTTTCAAATTGTTAATGTTTTGATATGTTCATAAATTTTAGATGAGTTGAAGCAGTATAATTTATATATATATTTTCCCCTCTTAATCATCGATATATCTTGAAATGGTGACGAAACAGAATTCAAAAATATATAATATTTTGAATAAAAAAATTAATCCTAAAGAAATATAATAATACCATCAAGATAACACTAAAGTAATATATATATATATATATATATATATATATATATATATATAAATAAAATATTTAAAGAAGTAAAACAAAAGTTACGTTTTTAAGGAATAAGGTAAAAAGTTTATAAAAATCTAATAATTTTTCCATAATAAATGTCGAACAAGTAAAATATATATTAATGGTCAATGATTTTAAACCATATTTCTTGAAACAATTCTTAAGCATCTTCACCTAAAAATACTGTAAATAAGAAAATATTTAACTTTACAAATATATTAGTTTCTTAAAAAACTAAATAGTTTAACATTCAGCTCAATTAATATAAAAAAATTATAACGATTATAAAAATTATGTATATTCTGTTAATATAAAAATTCGAAAGCTTTCAGTATAACAATTATTTTAGTTTTTAATTATAAATCCAAAGTGCGTTTTATATACTTAAAAAGTACTTTTTTAATATATATAAATTATAATTATAATATATACTAGAAATATTTAGTTGTAAAAATTATTAAATATTGATGAAGTGTTGTGAGGGTTACGTATTCCAATTGCACAAATCCATTATCTAATGTTGGCCCAAACTAGGTATTGAAATGGACACAATACAAGCATGTTGAATACATTCATAGAAAGTTGTATTAAAATGTGACAAAAGAGTGAAATTATTCAGAGATAAAATATATATAATAAAAATATAGAGAGAACACGTTATTATTTTTTAATTGATAAAAATAGTTTTATTAATTAAGATAAAATAATAAATGTAATAGTACGTACTCTCTTAATGCATCCATGAAAAATCTAAACCCATTAATATATGTATAAAATAAGAGTTTTAAAAATAAGAAACTAACATTTTATTTATTTATTTAATATGCATATAATTATGGAATTGGATGAAGATAATAACTGTTAGCAAACATTTATTAATTTTGGATTATCCAAGAAATTATGTTAATATCAAAAACATATTTAAAAGATTAAAGTAGTTAGTGGGCATATTTGAATTGACATGCAATTAATTAGACACATTGACTTAATTACTCAATTGGGTTTTCTTAAGTTATAATTTTACTTTCCTTTGATTTATGATTTTAATTTTTTATTTCTTTTGGTGATTTTAGTCACATGTTTAAGAAAATTTACAATTTTAGTTGAACTAATTTTATACTTCTTTTTCTTTTTTGTTCATTTTAACCTTAAATCTAACATAATCCTTCAATGTACCATAAAAATAATTTAAATATATAAAAAATTTAACATAGATTTATTCGAATCAAGATAAATATAGAGAAAATTTTATTAAATATCGTATAGAAGGTATTATGCATGTGTACGTGAATAATACCTTCTACTTATATGTAATGTAATATAATAACTTACTTATAATTTTGTTTACAATTTAAATTTTAAAATGATTATATTTAATTAATTTAAGTTTATTTTTAAATATATTTGAGTATTCTTGTTAACAAGGAATTTAATAGGAAAAATACAATTCCTTTACTATATGGTTTCTAAATTAAGAAAATACCGCATAACAATTATAATTTGAGATAAATAATATATTTTATTTGATTATCATATTTATATTAATTTGTAATATAAATATTTTATTTTATTTTATGTATGAGTATTTAATAATCAAAGTTGTTTGTACATTATTTCTGAATTTTTAGTTGGGTTAAAATTAAATGTTATTTATAGATATTATTGACAGAAATTTGTTGATAAATAATATAATAAAAAAATATAAATTTTTAATGAATAAGTGCGTAGATAAGTATTGAAGAAAACCATCTTTAAAAATTATTGAAGGATATATTTATGGATAAGTATTATTGATAAATTTGTCTATTTTTAGTTATTGACATAATTTTATCCATCCATAATTATTCATAATTTTTGATTTATTGATGTATGTAATTCTATTTTTTATTTCTTGAACTAAGATATTTTTTAAATTAATTATTTTCTTCATAAATAATGTATTTAATATGTTTTTATAAGAAGCACTCTATAATTCAATTTTTCTTAATTTATTATATTTTTCATAATTTTAGCATAAAAAAATATATGCATATATCCACGGTGTAATTTTTTGTGTGTAGGAGAAATGTAAGTTGAGATGAGCCATTGATGGAAATAAAGATTCAAATTGATGTAGTTGAACTTTACTCTTATTGGAAACCTAAGTTTGCTTGTGTAGTCCAATTATGAAATATTACAAATAAAAATTTTGAATCAAACAAATTAACTGAGTGCGAGAATCTAATCTAGCTGAATTAATGACCCGCAAGAATTAAGAAGTAAATGCAAATCAACATTGAATCTCTCCAAATAAAAAAAACGGATTATTTCCTCCAAATCGAGTCGCATAAATTTTTCGTCACATTAATCGGGTTTTGCAATTTTTAATTTGGGAAATATTTAATTTTATTGTAATTAATTTTATAATTAATTTATCTTGTTTAATCTCCTATAAATAGAAGTCTAATGAGAGTTCAATCCAGTTTTATCTCGTCCCGTTTTCTTTTTTAATTTTTAGTTAGGTGAGCTCATCTAATGTTATTGCACTCTCGATTTGCTCTCTTTTCTTTAATTTACAATTTTTATTGAATTTTTTAATTTATATTGTTCAATTTACTTTATTCACGCACTACTCATTTTAATTTACGTTAATTATTTAGAATTTTTATTTTATTATAGTACTTGCTTAATTTCCATTCTTAACTCATTTTTTGTTTGATTCTAATTATAATTCTCAATTTAGTTTTAGAGTTATCGCTTTCAAAAATTTTAAATTTAATTTGTGCACTCTTTTATTTTAAATCAATTTTTTATTTTGCATTTTACTCGACAAATTTCAAATTGAATTAAAATCACTTTGTTTAAATTTTATAAATTTTAGTTATTTAAATTATGTTTCACTTTAATTTTAATTATCATTATTATTTTACTGTAATTTGATTCTAATTCTTATTATTCTGCATCAATTTATTTATTTTTTTACTCTTTTGTCAATTCCCTATTTACTATTTTAGAAAAAATGATGTGTGGTAATAATTAAGTTTATAAGGTTCAATATGGGTTAAATATACTATATCAATTTAACAACTTATTTTTTATATTAGTATTTTGTGTGATCAAAATGTTGTCGTCATTTATTTATTATTAATTATTGATATATTATTCAAATTCACCAATAAATTTTTTAACAAAAATATTTTCGATAAATTTTTATCCATTGATAAAATATATTTCAAACTATTTTTCAATTAAACAAATTTTATCTATCAATAAATTTAATTTTTATAAAAGTAATATAAGAATATTCACTTATTCTTGATCAATTAAGTTTTTTGTCATCTTCAATGCAAGAATGTTTGATTTGTGAGTAGTACGCACTTCTAAATTGTTGGGTTGGGCCCAATTATGTGTAAAAAAAGGTCCAAATTAATCCAGTCATTTTATCTCATTTAATCTTAAGTGGAGAGAGATCTCTTAGGTC